CAAAGTAGGTTTTTGGTTTACGTGATGCTTGCGGTTTGGTTCTTGAACAAGGTATATTTGCTAATCAACGTATTTCATTTCCTATGTTTCCTCTATTTTTTTTGTCTAGCAAGTATTTTTGTTTATCATGCCGTCATCAACTGCAACATCTGCCTCTTCAAGACATGATAACAAATCCTCTGAAGATAGCAAATGCAAAATCATGTAAATGTCTCTCTCATTTCAATGTGGTAAATTTTTAACCTTTTCTCATCTTAATTGTTCTTCCTTCTTTTTAATATTTTTGTGGTTTTAACAAAAACCCGTAATAAACCATAGTTGCCAAAGAGATTATTGTTTTTATATGATTCATGACAAAGTCTTTTCAATTTTCAAAAATAATTTATACCATGAAAATAAATTAGTTAACAATGCAGATTTAATTTTTTTTTTTCGTATGATATATTTGTATAGAATATCCGTTTTTTTAGAGTTRCTATGTTCAAGCATCCTCTTAAATATATAAACAATGTAATTTGTTTACCGAATCTATTTTGTTTTTGTTTGGCAGAATCATGGAGCAAAAAGAGTTTGTCACTAAACAAATTAATAATGTTTTTATTGTTTGAAACTCGATATTCCAAAAATTCTTGAAATCTTTATTTGGTTTTTTTCAGTTTTAAGGGAGAATGAAGATTATTAAGCTAAATCATCATCAACTTTTCTTTGCTCATCATCACCATATTTGGTATTCATATTCAGCTCTTTTACACCCATTTAAAATGTCGTTAAGTTATAATTATACATGTGATGATATATAGTTAGACGATTAAACTATAATAAGATATTTGACTCTTTATTAGAAAACATTTTTGTTGGTTTTTTTTCCAAATTTCAAATTCTTATTATAGTACGCTCATAGAAAAWTYTTTGGTATATTTTAAATCCTCAMATTACGTATATCTTAAACCAAACCCAAATTTTGAAATTTAAAAAGTCTTCTCATATTACGTACTTTCCAAAAAAATTCAAAATTTAATCAATTTGACGTTTTAATGTTTCATATATATAGTTAGCCGAAAAGGTAACAAAGCRCAAAGTTTGGAAAGTAGTTAAATAACAATATTTGATAACAATAATTTTCGGAAATTAGTTATTATTTTTAAAAAAATTAAAAAGATTTGGAAAGTAYTTAATGACAATGTTTCATAATATTCTTATAACACACGATCTTGACGTTCAATTGCTTTTGATTTTAAAAATGACATGCCATTGTATTAATCTTAATTTCCTTATATGTTATAAAAATTATTGCACTATCAATTTRTTTCTTTAACAATGTTACGCATAATATATCATCAAAATTATTATTGATTAATCATATGATCAATTATAGACACTTAATATAATACCAATTAAAAATGGCAAAYATATTTCTATAACTTTTATATCCCATAAATATAATTTCCGAGATTAATGTTCTATGACAATATTATATATTCCGGAATTTTTTAGTTAATTTTGGTATATTCTTAGTTTTAAGGGATATATCATATATTGTTGGTATATTTTTATCATCACAAATTCTTTCAATTTTTAAAAATAATTGCTGCCATGAAAATCAATTGGTTAATGATGCGGAGTTCTTTTCTTTAGAGTTCCTAAATTGACGTAATTTATTTRTTCTCTTTGTTTTCATGGTTTTTAATCTTTTTTTTTTTGTATCTATGTCGAATTTCGTTTATGTAGTTATACTCCCGTTCAACTAATTTGTGC